TCCAGCTAATTTCTATTTTTTTTAGTAGAGATGGGGTCTTGCTCTTGCTCAGGCTGGTCTCAAACTCCTGAGCTCAAGCGATCCACCCGCCTCGGCCTCCCAGAGTGCTAGGATTACAGGTGTGAGTCACCATGCCCAGCCAGTTTTTCTTTTTTGAATTTTTTTCAGAGACAGGGTCTGGCTCTGTTGCCTAGGCTGGAGTACAGTGGTATCGTCACAGCTCACTGCAACCTTGAACTCCGGGGCTCAAGTGATCCTCCTGCCTCAGCCTCCCAAGTAGCTGGGACTGCAGGCACCACCACGCCCAGCCTTGTAGGGCAGTTTTGTAGTCAGGCCAGGTAGCCACCAAACATGAGCTCCCAGAGCCTCCCAAATGCCTTCCGCATTCCCCGATGTGAGAGGGGGGCCTCCTGTGCGGTCAGGGGTCCTGGGGACTGCCCACCCACTCTGCCTCCTGGAGCTGGTCCTCAGTGTCATACTCCGAGGAGACTCACAGATTTGGGGTGTGCAGGGCCTGGCAGCACCCCCACTTGACTCCCTTGACCCCCAAGTGTCTGTGAGAAGTCCTTTCACAACCATTCTCTGCCTGTATCCTTCTGGCCCCAGGGGAGAGTGGAGAGAAGGGGGCTAAGCCAGCAGGTACCTTCTGGAAAAGGTCCCTTTGTGCTAGAGCCCTGCCAGCAGGCCTGGCCCAGCACCCATGGTGTGTGGGGCCCGGGCTGGGGTGGGGGACAGGCCGTGGCAGGGCTTTGTGTTCAAGAACCCCCCAGGTTCACCTGGCCCACCACAGCTCTGCGCACAACCAGCAGCCCTCTCTGAGCCTCACGAGGGCAAGGGTGGAGCAGGCAGTGGGGCACACAGAGGGAAGTGGGCTGCCCCTGGTCACAATGCAAGGTGGCCATAGACCCCAAGCTGGTGGGACTCAAAGGCTGGGTCCTTTCCCACTGCACCACCACTTCCCCTCTGTGGCCAGGCTGTTCTTGTCTCTGCTCACTCGGGGGTGCAGGAGACATGGGGGACATGTTGCGGAGCCCCCCTTGCTAGGAAGGCCCTGCCTCCTTGGCAGCAATGGGAAATACCACCAGACTGGGGCAAAACACCTGGGCCTGGACCACCTCCTACAGAGAATGTGAGCTCCCCAGGGTGGGCCCAAGGGCTGCACACACCCAGGTGCCCGAGCGGGCACAAATGAACCTGTGACCCTGAGCAAGCCCTGCCCCTGAGAGCCTCAGACACCCCATCCAGACAGTGGGGGCCCAAACACCACCTTCCTCCAGGCCCAGAGCACAGGGACCCAATGGCTTCCAGGCCCAGCTAAAGGGCCACAGCGCCTATTCAGACCTTCAGGAACGGCCTCCAATGTGACCACCTTGTGACCATGGCCGCTCTGAGAGGTTTTACTTTTGCTCAAAGCTTTATGTTTAAAATAATGGCTTCTTCATTGTCGGCTGGGGAGAAAGGCATTAGTAGGCCTGACCCCATTCTACAGATGAGGGTCTGTGAGGCTCCTTGAGGGCCAGTGACCTGCGAGAGGTCATGTCACCAGTAAGCAGCTAAGCCTGGCCTCTCCTGTCTCCCTGCCCCCACCACTGTGCCAGGCACCAATCCCAGGCACACATCAGGCATAGACTGGCCTTCCATTACTGCCCTCAGCCACAGCCTCCTGGACAATGTCACTGGTCTCCAGATGGTGCGCAGGAACACATTCCCTGGCCACCCATCCCCAGCCTTCCAGGGACAGCAAGTCTGAGAGGGCACCTGACTGCCATGGAAGTGTGGCTCAGCTCCGCTGTGAGCAGGGGCAGGCCAGCCCCCAACCCCAGAGGGCGGTCTCTCGGTTCTAGGGCCCCTGCCAAGCTCGGCTGGGAGCTGGCAGCAGTGACAGCACCATGTTCCCCCCGCGCTTGGAAGGCTCCCAGATCCTCCGCTGGAGAGTGTGATGCCGCTTCTCTTGTTAAATGGTACCAGGTGGCAAAGAAAATGTGGCACAGGGACCTGAGAGAGAGGTGTGCCCCATGCTGGCTGGGGAGTGAGGGGTGTGAGGAAGGCCTTTCTTTGTCTCCAGCAAAGTGACATGCCCAGAGGAGGGGAGCAGGCTGTGTCCACACTGCCTCCTTCCCCTGCTGGGACACCACACTCCACCAGCCCCGCAAAGACCTACCCTACCACCCACCCACCTGTAAGGCCCCACCCTTTGTGGCATAGGATACTGAGGGAGCTGGAGATAATGTCTGTTTCTAGAAGCCCTGCACCCTCTGGGAGGGCTGGCCTACTCTGGACCTCTGCTACCGTCCATCCCTTAAGGGACCAACACAAACCTTCACCTCTCTCTACCAGCCTCGTCCTTCCACCCTGACCAAATGTCCAAGGGCGTTCCTTGCTGCTGGCTGAAGGCCTGCTCATGACACCTGTCCTTGTCCCCCTCCTGTGGTGAGGCCTCTGCTCTTCTCCCACTTGCTAGTCCTGAGCCCTCCCTGTAGTGCTAACAGTGTCCTGGTGGTCCTGTCCTGAGGACCACAGCTTTAAGAGACTGCGCCTGTAGACAGACTGCTGCTTTCTCAGGTGCAAAGCCCGTCTCCACCTTCTCTGTTCACAGCTCAGGGCCTGCCCAGCGGAGATGCCCAAACCTTTACTCAACGATTAGACACACAGGAAAACAACTGGAGGGGAAAAGCAGAGGGCTAGGGCTGGGTCTGCCACCAATTAGCTGTGTGACTGCGGATACACCTCTGATGACAATGGTCTCAGTTTCATGAACTGTGAAATGGGGAAACATCATCAACCTCACAGGTCTGCCAGGAGGCGACAGGAGCTACTGCTGTATGAGAAGAGCTCTGTGAAGCATGAAGTGCCTTGCAAATGTCAGGTGACATGTGGGGCCTCAACCGGAATCTACGCAGCTGAGGTCCTAAGCGGGGCCCAAGGGGCTGCCTCAGCCAGCCAAGTGTCTACAAACCCTCGCTGAGCACTAGGGGTGGGGCCCTGGGCTGAGCTCTGGAAGGCACCTGCAGAAAGGAGGCGGACAGAGCCCCATCCCCATGACACTTATAAGGCGGTATCAGTCGGCCCACCCTCAGCCAAGAGCACAAAGCCTGGCTGTGGTGGTGACATCAAGGCAGAGCCCTGAGGTGCTGGCACTGCCCAGGGCTTCGAGTGGGGACCATGCTGAGGTGGAGGGCAGGCCCATGCTCGGGCAGCATGGGGTGGCAAGGGCCCTGTTATGCTCTGAGGGAGCCAGGACCTGGCTGTTCCTGGGTCTCTCCCACCAGATCCCCTCACTCCCAAGCTCCCATGTGCCAAGCCCACCTCCGTGTAGTGGCAAGGAGCCTTCACCTGGCTGATGGGATTTCTGGAGTCCGATTTCAACACTTCTACAAATTTCCGATCAGAAGCAAAGAAGGAGAGCAATCGTCACCGCACAGTCTCTCGCCACCAACCCAAAACACAGCCCTCTAGTGCTTCTCTCGCCTCATAAACTTCTGACGTTTATAAAGAACTGGTGCAAATTCCCAATTTGCACCAGGTTTTGAACTCTGCTGTGTGGTTTCAGATAGTTACCATTCACTGAGTGCCTACCTGGCACCATGCGAGGCATTAACACACTGCATTATGCAATTTGGCGACACACAAACAAGCGCGGGGAGTCACACGGTCTCAGGCACTTCACCAGTCATTTCTTTGAGTCCTCACAACGTGACAAGGTGAGCAGAACCATCTCCATTTACCCCTGGGGAACCTGAAGCTCCGAGAGGCAACACTGAGGCTCTGTAACGGCAGGGCCAGGATGGGAGTCGGATCGGCTCAGGAGTCTGTGCTCCCTGTTCCGGCCCACTCTTAATTGTTCTTAGCCGATTTCCTCATCTGCAACGTCAAAGTGGTAGATGAGACCAGTGATTTTCAAACTTTTTTTAGCCACAGACCCTTTGTTCAAATGAAATGTTAAGTGGAGATGTAATGTGTCAGTTACAGACACAGGGCTGGGCAGGAGTGAGCGTGGGCGGGGGCTGGAGTCCTACCAGCTGGGCTCCCTCCCGCTGCTTCCCAGCACTCCCTGCTGGAGCACGGGCCCTGCAGGAGCCTGCGAGACCACCGGCCGGCTGACCCAGGGCCTGTCAAGCCCTGACTGGTCTTTACCAACAGCAAACGTTTATGGAGCTGGCATCAGGCTGTGCAGAGGGGCAGCCCCAGGGGCCAGTGGCCCTCACAGGTCCTCAAGGGAGGGGCTCTCGGAGCTCCTCATCAGGGACAGCAGATTCAGGGCTGAGACACCGGGCATGTGGCCAGCGCAGATCTGCAGCATGCGCACCAGGCGCTGGGCCATGGCGGCTCGGAAGCCTTCCACCTGCAGGGAAGAGCAGAGAACAGCAGTGAGGCAGAATGGGGTGGCCGGCCCTGCTTCCCTGCTGGGAGGAGCTGCAGGGGCTGCCAGAGGCAGAGCTGGAGACAAAAGCACCTATCACAGCCGTGCCCCTGCTCATGCCACGTCTCCCAAAGCAGCTTCCAACCACGTCAGCTCACACAATCCGTCAGACAACAACCTCCAGAGATACCCAGAGACTGTGTGACCCCCTGCTCAAGAGGAAATGAAGGGTTAGCAAACAAGGTTGGCTGGGCCAAGTAAACCATCTAGGGTCACACACTTAGTGACTGCAGAGCTGCGCTCTGAACCAGGCAGTCCCAGGCAGCGCAGGCCCCACAGGCTCACTTGCCCAGGATCTGAGAAAGACGCTTGCAGGGGTGGGAAGGAGGGAGGAGAGAGAGTGGCCCTCACCACGGATAAGGAGATCCCAACCCAAAGCAGCTCCTTTATCAGGGCTTTTGAAGGGCCGGTGGCCCTAGGGGAGCTGTGGGGTTAGGCAGGGACAACAGGACTGTTCAGCAGAACGTGACGCAGCCGCTCCCTCCCTCTGTGAAACACTTTTTCTACCTGGCTCCCAGGAGACTCATGTAGGTTTCCTTCTACCCCACCAGCTGCTCCCTCCTCTCTGCCCAACATCTAAATGCTGGGGTTGCAGGGCTTGGTCCTTAGCTCTGCTCTCCCACACTCAACCCCTGGGTGGCCTCATCCAGTTCTGTGGCTTTAAAACCATCTAATTGCTGATGACACCCAAATTATATCTCCAGATCATTCCTCTGAATGTTGGACACACATATGCTGCTGCTGACTCGATTTCTCCGCTTAGATGCCTAATAGACACCTTTATCTTAGCATGCTCCAAACCCACAAACCTGCCCCGCCTATGGTCTTCCTATCTCAGCCAAGGGCAACTCCATCCCTCCAGCCAGTCTGGCCAAAACCTTCAGAGCCACTGTGGACTCTTCTTCCTCTCATGTCTCGCATCTTGGCCATTAGCATGTTCTGCTGGCTCTTCCCTGGAAACAGCCAGTGTTGTAGAACAGCCCATCTCCCTCTTCCCTGGCTATCACCAAGTCCAGGCCACTCTTAACTCTTTTAGAAAGAGCCTCCAGAACTGTCCCCTATTTCTGCCCTTGCCTCCCTTTCGTCTACTCTCTTCCTGGCAGCCAGAGGAATCCATTTAAAACCCAAGTCAGGGCACATCCCTCGCTGGCCCCAAACCCTCCAGCAGCTCCAGTTTTACTTGGAGTAAAAGCCACAGTCTTTACTTCAGCCCATACGGCCCTGCTGATCTGGCCCGACTGTTCCTCTGTTCCTCTGACTCATCTCCCACCACTCTGCCCTTTGCTGCTGTGCTTCAGGCACCCAGGCCTCCCTGCTGGACCCTGAACTCACCAGGCAAGTTCCAAACTTTGCACTTGCTGTTTCCCCTGCTGAATGTGCTCTTCCCCCGGCATCTCCACGGCTCACCCTCCTACTTCCTTCAAGTCTTTATTTAAAAGTCACAGTTGCAGTAAAGCCTCCCTGTCTTTACCACCACCTGACATGTCACACCCCCATTTTCTAACACGTTAAACATTCTACTTCTTTACTTTGTTTGTTTCCTCGACTAGACTGGAGCCAGGATTTTTGACTGTTTTGTTCGTTGCTGTGGTCCTAGTGCCTAGAACAGTGCTCGGCACACTGTAGACATTCAAGAAGTATTTGTTGAATAAATCTTCTCACTCTAAGTCTTGCGGCTTTTGTCCCCAAAATCTATCTCCAAGCTGCTGCTGCTCTGGCTCAGGCTCCACGACCTGCCTCCTGCCTCTGGCCAGGCCTCCTCCAATCCACATATCACTCCAGAGACATGGCCCAAAAACCCAAGTCTGAGCACAATCACGACTTTGCCCATGATGTATAGGAAGAAATGACTTAATTTTACTGCCATGTTTCCAAAGCCCAGCAAATCCTTCTGCTATTGCATATATTATATATCTGTCTATCTCAGGAGATTCCACGAGGGCAGGGCCAATATCTGACTCATCTGCGTTCCCAGGGACCAGCACAGAGCTCTACCAGCAGACCTAGGCAATTATTTCACTGGGTGAATCACACACCCCCAAGTGTGTTTCCTCATCTGTAAAAGGGGGCCGATAATTCCTGCTATGCAAAGGCCTCAAGATGTGGTGAGGCTCCAACTCAATTATGCAGAAGACTCTGAAAAGGACAGCACAAGCATGAGGAGCGATGATGGTCCAAACACCGGGTGCTTCATTTGAGGGACACGGGTCTATGTTCTGAGCATGCATTTCTGTAGCCCCTGCTGCTGGCTGGAAACAGGCTGGGCCTCCTGCTCCCTACAAGACACCTCTCTTGAGAGTTCTCAGGCTAGAAGGGAACCTAGGACCTGGTATGGCCTGCCACCTCATGGCCACAGACAGAACCGCACCACCTGGCACCACCTACGCCTGGGCTGTGGCGCGACGATCGTGATTCCCCGTTAGAGCTGAGAAAACTAAAGCTCTGTGGGGGTAAAGTGACTTGTTCAAAGCCACACTGTCAGCAAGCTATGACAAGAGAGGCAGCTGCATACCAACTGGCTGGCTCTACTGCTTGCTTACTAGCTGTTTCTCTCTATTCTTGTTTCCTCTGAGCTTTCTTGTGAGGAAAGCCTGGCAGGGGCGGGCACTTCTGGTGTGCCCAGGCCTCAGGGTCCCATCCGTGAGATCAGAGCATTGATCTAGTCAGGGGTTCTAAAAATAGTCATCAAACATGAAAAGCACACGTGTGATAGAGGAGTGTGTGTATCTTTATCAATGCATTGATCCGGGGGCCGGTCTAACGACTACTGTCACATTGAAGTAGTGATGAGACGTGCTCAATTCCAATGTGATATTAAACATTTGCTATTTCTTTTCTTTTCTTTATTTCTTAGAGACAGAGTCTCACTCTGTCACCCAGGCTGGAGCGCAGTGGGTGTAGCTTACTGTGCCTCAGATTTCTGGGCTCAAGTGATCCTCTGCCTCAGCCTTCTGAGTAGCTAGGACTATAGGCTAATTTTTTTTTAGAGACAGTGTCTCACCATGTTGCCCAGGCTGTAGCCTAAACTTCTGGCCTCAAGAGATCCTCCCGCCTCAGTCTCCCAAAGCGCTGGGATTATAGGCATGAGGCAAGCTGTTTGCCATTTCTATCGGTAACAGTCATAGATTCTGCTAATACTACTGACATCTCTTTCCCACATTCATAATGCTCAATTTCACTTAGAAAGCAGTAGAAAAAAAAGAAGTAATTTTTTTCCTCATCTAAGTTCACAGATCCCCTGAATTCTGCCCTCAGACCAGAGGGGCCTACTGACCCCAGAGTAAGAACTGCTGGGCTAGACGGTGGGGAAGGATCACATGTTGATCCTTCCGCATTACATCACTTTGCCTTTGGGAATAGGTGCGAGACCCAGAACAGCAGAAACACAAGCAATGAACCTCAAAACCAATAAACAGATTTCCAAAGCAACTGAGCAGGCCTCATGCATGGGTGGGGCAGCGTAGGCCATGAGATCCCTCGGTAGACCTCACGGGGGGGCACATCAACTCCTGCTAAGGACTCTTTAGCAAAAAATCGTCGGGATTCATCTTGCATAAAAAGAGGCTGAAGAGCAAAACATGTCAGGAAAATGGACAACTGCTTTGTCACCCTATGGTTAGGCTCACCTTGTGAGAAACACCAAGAAAACCAGTAAGGGCAGGACCAACACCACATGTATCCATCCAGCCATCTACCTACCCACCAGACGAACAGCCCTACTGCCTGCTGGGTGCCCTGGCCTGGGCTGGGACTGGTCGAGGTCTATAATCCAGGGAGGTAAGGGCAATGTCATGCATGCTTATTGCTGCCAGGGGGACAAAAGGATGCACTGGTTAATGAGACAGACAGGACACCTGGCCTCACAAGCACTTACACCCCAGCAGGAGAGTGAGATATTAACAAGGACCCACAAAGCGTATATGGGACTTAGTTATAAGTACAGAGAAACAAGCAAAAGAAAAAGCAGGGCAACAAATGATAGAGCTCAGCACGTAAGAGGCATTCAAGATGACCCCCACTTCACACTTATGTACTCTGAGGCTTGAGGTAACCTGCCCAAGGTCACAGCCAGTGAGCCAAAAAGCTGGGATTCAAAGCAGGATCTTGTGTCTCCTTTCACATCGAGAGCCACCTCACTTGGCTACTTGATGATCCTTCAATAAGAATTCCTGACATGCGCACCGTGTGCTGACTGCCCTTTCCCCTTGCACTTCCCCTGCACTTGAGTGTCACATAAGCCACTGTGATCAGTGTCCTCACCTCCAAGTCACAGAAGAGCAGAGGGCTTCGGTAGGTGTGGGCCAGCTTCACAACGGTGTGCCGGTGAATGATGCAGTGGTTCTCCTGCCCAGCTGCAAAGAAGCCATGAGAGTGACAGCCGTAATCTCCCCCCTCATGGCTGTTATCCAGTAAGTGCTGGGCAACGTAATTCACTTCCCCTCTCTGGGTCTCAGTTTCTTTCTAGTCAATGGGTGACAATCCCGTTCTACCTTGTTTTCTGGGTAGTCAAGACTATCAAATTAAGACAATGAGTATAATAATAGCTCCTACCCCATTGGGTTATTCTAGAGAGCCAATGAGTTGATACCTAGAAACTACCTGGCCTTTGTTTATTCACCAATGCTTATTGAGAATAATCTGTGCCAGGCCCTCCTCTCAAGGAGCTGACACTTAAGCTGGGGAGGCAGACAGGTCGGACATGTCATTGGTGCCAAAGGTGACACTGGAGCTGAGTTTTGAGGTATTTGTAGGAGTAGCAAGACAAAGAAGAGGAAAAAAGTATTTGAGAGAAGCCATACAGTAATCATTAAGAGGACAGGCGCTGGGATAGGGCTATCTAGGCGTGAACCTCAGCTCTACCACTTTTTAGCTATGGGGGCCTTGGGCAAGTTAATCTCATGATCAGTTTCCTCAGCTATAAAAACTGAGATAATCGTACCTACCTCCAGGATTAATATGACATAAAAAACAAAGCAACTACAAGCAGCGGCTGGCTCACAGTGAGAACTCACTGAAAGTTAGCTGTTGTTATTTCCACTGTTAATATTACAAAGCCTCAGGAAGAGCAGGACTTTTTCAGAGAACTACAAGCTGACTCAAAGAATGAGACAATAATAGACTAGATAAGAAGGCAGAGGCCAAACTGCAAAATACTTCATGTCTTTAGAGGAGTTTGGATTTTACTCTGAAAGCTACAGGGAGCCACTAGGCAACTCTACACAACAGCAGAATTATCTGCTCAGATTCGCTTTTAGCGAGACGACAACAGGTCAGATTCCAAAGTACATGTTCTTTCCATCCCCTAGGCCGCCTCAGCAAGGACTCTACAACTGCCACAGTTTTCCCTTGGTTGGGGGTGGGCAGCGGCAGGTGAGGGGCATACTTACCACCTGTGGCGAGGAAGCACACCTTCCCCAGGAAAAAGCTGGTGTCCACATGGTGCAGGGACTCCTCTGTGTTCTGGAGGCTGCTGGGGCCAGGCCAGGGTGAGAAAACAAACCAGAGGAGAAAAATTTACAACAGAAAAAGCAGAAACCCCTGCTTCTCTGATCCTAGACAGGCCAGAGAATAAGAGGAAGGTGACAGGAGAAGTACTTTACCCTTTAATTTTTTAAAAACTACTTTTAGGCCCAGTGGCTCACGTGTGTAACCCCAACACTTTGGAAGGCTGAGGTGGGAGGATCGCTTGAGGTCAAGAGTTTGAGACCAGCCTGGACAACATAGTGAGACCCATCTCTACAAAAAATTAAAAAATTAGCCGGGTGTGGTGGCACATGCTTGTAGTCCCAGCTACTTGGGAAGCTGAGGCGGGAGGACTGCTTGAGCCCAGGAATTTGAGGTTACACTGAGATATGGCCACTGCACTCCAGTCTGGGTGACAGGTTGAGACCTTGTCTCTAAAACACATAAATAAAAAATAAACAAAAACAAACAAAAAGATAAAATGACTTTTAATTATAAAGTGACTCATGCTTGTAAAATAATCAAATGGTAAATATGGATGTATACGTAAAAAGTAAAGTCCCACTCTCTCAGCAACACCCTTTACTCCCTATTGATTCCCCAGAGGAAACTGCTGCCAACAGCGTGAGGTGTAATTTCTCTAGAATTTTTTTCATATGCAGATAGACAATGGTATGTATAAGCATCTAGTTGGGTCCCCCATATCATCAAACTGCTTGCCAGTACATAGAAATCTGTTACATTCTTCAGAATGCCTACACAGCATACCATATCTATTTTCCCAGTGATAAGCTTTAAGTGGTCTCCAGTTTTTCACTATTACAAAGAATGCAGCATGAACATTCTTTTACATGTACCCTTGCACATTCAAGCAAATATTTCTGTAGGACAGATCCTAGAAGTGAACGGCTAGGTCACAATATGTGTCTTTTAAAAATACAGATGGGTATTACCAAAGTGCTTTTCTTATCAGTTATAATGATTTAATCATACAATTGTATGAAAATGCTCTTTTCCTTCCAAACAAGGGGCTCTGATCTCCTGGGCTGAGGCTTTCATTCACTGGTGTCCAGGGACAGATGAAGGATCTGTTGTCTCCTGGCCAAAAAGACATGTTGGTCAGGTGGCCCAAGCCAAGGTTTCAGCCTGAGGCCAATAGCAATAATGATCCCTTCCCTTAAGGGTGGCTGCAGAGCAGCAGATCTGCTAAGGCAAACAGATCTTATCCTATGGCAATCATGGCAGATCTCAGCTCCTTCTCAGTCCTACTACAGGCCCAAAGCCCTGCTGACTAGTTCCAACTAGTCCTCATGCTACCTGTACCTGGTATCTCCACACTGCTGGGTTCCCAGGTATTTCCTACCACAGCCTTTAACCCCCACCACATAACTAGGTGTTTGCCTTGGTCTCTGTGCTGGACCCTGCGCCCTCCCTAGCCTCAGTCAACAACCCCCAGGAGGAACTCACTCCCATCTTTACCTGGCTAACTCATTGTTCACACGGTTTTCTTTGAGATAAGCTCTCACTCTGTTGCCCAGGCTGGAGTGCAGTGGCATCATCACAGCTCACTGCAACCTCAAACTCCTGGGTTCAAGAGATCCTCCTGCCTCAGCCTCCCCAGTAGCTTCAGATTACAGGCACATACCACCACATCTGGCTAATTTTTATTTTTTTGTGGAGGGAGGGTCTCACCATGTTGCCCAGGCTGATCTCAAATTCCTGGCCTCAAGTGATTCTCCCACCTTGGCCTCCCAAAGTGCTAGAACACCCAGCCTCAAGTGTTGATTTAGATGTAACCTCCACCGGAGAATGTACCCTGATGTTCCACACCTAATTCCTGGCCATCAGAGATCTTGTTTGGGCTCCCATATCCCAGTGCTTCCTTGCTTTACATTACATATCCAAGATACTGTAATTGTCTGTTCAAAAGTCCAGCCTCCTCCCCAAGTGGACTAGGAGTACCTTGAGGACAAGGGGACCATTTTGTTCATCTATGTGCCTGCTGTCAGGTGTACAGAGTAGGCCTCAAGAGAGCATTAGCTAAACAGATAGTGTCTTTTGAACACTGTGAGCTAGCCACTGGCTCCTCCTTCGTCACCCTGTAGGTTGACCCCAGGCAGCCTCTCCTAGCCTCCTCCCCTTCCCTTTACAAGTGAGGTCACTGTCCCAGCACACTCTCAAGCCAGGTCTGCCTGAGGCCTGACAGCCCCTGTCCTCTGGCTCTCACCTGTATTTGCTGTGAAGGTTAACCACAAACACGATCAGGTCAATTCGGGGCCGATTCACATTGGCAGACAATGGGAGGGACCTTGCCAAGTGGCTGAAAAACAAGAAATTGCAGGACTAAACATATATGCACCCCCCTCACAGTGACTGTTCATATGCTGCCCTTCATGGGGAAACAGCTATCAAGGGCTCCTCACCTATTCACCTGACCAAGACTCTCTGGGTGAGTACAGAGGCAGGACAGAGCCAGTTCTATCCAGATCACTCCTGTTTGATTCCCTTTGCCAGAAAGGGGATCTGTTTAGTAACCATCATGGCAAGGGGGAGGTCTGGATATAAGAAGGCATGGGGCTAGCTAGCTACACTGCATGGTGGGAGGGAGACCTGGCTTAGAAGAGGAGGTGTTGACCTGTGAAGTTCAAGGGCTAAGACTGAACACCTTTGGCATGAGATAGACGTGGGCTCAAGTCCCAGTTCTGTCAATTTCCAGCTATGTGATCATGGGCAAGTCATTCTCATCAGGACGTGGTCTCCGGTTATCAAATACCCACCTGAAGGCTTTTCTTGAATACTCTACTGCTGCCCATTTCCACATATTACCAGGACTCATTTTCCTTTCCACCAGATTATAATTCAAGAAAAGTACAAAACCCACAAAAGTTAAAAAAAATATATCCCCCCAAAATTCAGCCACTTAGAAATTACTATTAGCATTATAACATTTTTCTAAATATCTCTTCATGTACATACTATATACATATTCAGAGAATAGAATAAATATAATCTAAAAATAGGATAATAGTATTAATTAACTTGAATGGAATAGAAGCAAAATAAGTAAAGTTGAACTAAATAAATAGTTGGCATATTTTTAAACTATGTTTTCAATTTTATCTGTATTGGATTGATTCTCTATACTTCATCCTACCATTTGGACAAGATTCATAAATGTGCATTCCATCATCATTATTATTATGATGATATACATTTATATTTTGTTCTAACTATAACTCTGGACCTAGGCTGATAAAACTGCCACTCTATAACACTGCTGATGTCCATGGGAGAGGCAAAGGGCCCTGGGTTGGGGGGATGGTGTCTTTCTCTGGCAATTAAATGCTTCAGTAGTGAAGAGATAATCACTTTTGCTCACAACTCATTGGCCAGAACTAGTCACATGGCCCCACACAACCACAAGAGGCCAAAAATACAATCCTGATTCTTACCATGTGCTACTAACTCAGAGAGAGAGAAATATTTAGCAATAGAATGAACACACGATGATATGGGTGATTTGCTTTTTCTGTTTAAAAGCCTGAAACATTATTTACCCTTTAAGTTCAATAACTTAACTAGGATATAACTTGACATCAAGTATTCTGTTACCATTTTTCCTCAAACAAGATATATATACCCTTTTAAATGGAAAAATTCAACTTTTCACTCATTCCAGGGAAGTTTTCTTCCATTATATCTTTGAACACTTTCACTATAATTTCTCATCTTTCTTCTTTGTAAATAGTTAAAAAAAAAGTTTTCAACCACATCCACTCTGATCCTGTTTCTACGTATTTATCAGATAGATCTCAAATGGTAATATTTTGGGTCCTCCTTTTTTATCCTTAGCTCTGCAACCTCCCTTTTCCTCTTTCTGTTGTTTTATCATTTGGTCTTTGAATGTTTCTTTTTAAAATTCATGTTCTTATTAAATTTTTCAATATATAGATGAGGGAAAAATACAAGTTTCCCACCACGTAACAGAAACACTGTGCTGCGCTAGCCTTGAGTGCTCAACAAAGTTGTTACAAAGTCATTAACTACCACCCTGGAAAAGTACCCAGCACTTTCTTGCCTTGAACAGCCGGCTGAAACTGGCCCTGACTGCTTTAGAGCTGCTTTGGTTGTCCAATAGTGCCCTTTAGCTAACTGTAATACTAAAATCTCTGACTAGTGGAAAATTGTAATATCATGTTGCATGACAGCATGATAATGGTAGGGTGCCTGCATTATTTGTTTCGCCATAAACAATCAAAGAAACAACGTAAAAACTTTGCATTACTCATGGGGAAGAGATTTAAGGCAACACCACAGGGTGGACAGATGTGGATTTTGCATGCAAGAAAGCTCCTGTGGAAGAAATTCCTGTGTTGCTCACCAGCAAGCGCCCTTGTTAGTAACCTCTAATAAACTCAACTGACTCATCAAGCTGGACTCATCTAAGTCACTCTTAGGTCTCTTGGCTGCCTCTCATTTTGGAGGGAGGTTTTTCTATACTGTCCTGGGACTTCCCCAAAACAGAACACTGAAAGAGGAGCATTTCTCATTTTTCTAGAGTGGGTTTTTCCTTAGATTTTTATATGCGATGTGACTTGCCCTTTTTTTTTTTTTGCAATGGTTCCCATGACACTTCTTTCCATCTTGTTTTTGTTCAGTGTGAGCAATTCTGTCCACATTTTTCACTTACCCTGATACTAATTAAATGCATTTTTTAATCCTTTCCCATTTCTGAGCTATGGGTTTGAAATTGTTAGTTGTGTTTGATGTGCTGTAGTCTGAGAGCCTGGTGAGGTGGATGGATCACAGAGAGACCAATGAACAGTCTTTATTTTGGGGGCAAAGATTATACTCCCTCATCAGAGGTTCTTTAAAGTGCCATACCGAGGTTTATTCTACCTAGCTATTCTACCATTGGAAGAGCATTCCAATGTCCACGGAGGAAATACCCTCTGGATTTGGATCGTTCTCCTTCAGCATGGACTCCTGGGCCTATCTTTCTATTAGCGAGAATGACACCCCCACATACTCAGTCACCTGATTGAAATAGCAGCTGTTTCTACTCCCTTACGAGTTAGGAAAAGGAAAACAAAACGTACTTCTTTAGTTATCTTTTCTCCAAATTTGGGGGGGCATTAAAGAATTCTCAGAATTTTGTTGTTGGAGTAGGGTTAGCAGGCATACCATACCAGAGTTTTTTGCTGCCAATTTTTTGCTGATTTTGCTATTTTCCAATTCATTTCACTAAGTTTGGGAGGAAGAAGAGCTTCACTTTGCCATATTTACTGGGGAATTCTTGCCTTCCACTTTTACTACCTCTAGACATTTCCGGTATCCTCTCCCCTCAAAAGCCTTTTTGAATCTTGAATTAACCAGATTAATTTAACAATTATTAATTGAGCATCTACTTTTTGCCAGTTATTGCTCAAGGCACTGGGGATTCACCAGTGAACAAGGGCCAAAGTCCCTGTACTCAAGGGGCTGACAAGTCCATGGGGGTGGCAGACTGGACCAAGTAAACCAACAGGTGGACAGGTAATTTCTTATGGTGACAAGTGCTACGAGGAAAACAATATGTGTGGTGACAGAGAGTGATGGAGGCTACCTTAGATGGGGTGCTCAAGGGGGTCCTGTCTAAGGTATGCACATCTGAAGTAAGGGGAGAAGGAGCCAGCTCTGGGACAGGATGACGGGCAGGTTCAGCAAGGGCAGATGGCACGTTAAGATGCAGGAGTTAGCCATCAGGCACCCCCTGCGCCCCGACCCCCTGGCAGCTGCTTCCCTTGTCCCTCAGGCCCAGGCCAGAGTTCAAGCCACAGCTGCAGCTACTTACACCTTCAGCTCCGAGGCGCAGTCCTCCTTGAGCATCGAGTCCGCTAGCTGCTGCAGAAGAGCATCCTCCGTGCCCACCAGCTACCCAGAGAGAGAAAGCGACCGATTGAGAGCTGGGCACAGCAGCCCCTCTGGAGGGCCTGGCACTTTGATCTCCCTGGGAGATCAGGCCACCGCCCCAAGGCAGCTTGGAGGGCGCCATTTCCCGAGAAAAGGACCCCCGCGAGGAGGCTCGGGTTGAGGGCCCGAAGTTTGGACCCGCTCCAGGCCTCTTGGCACCGCACTCACTACTCCAACCCTCCCGCGGACCGCCTGGCCTCTTGTGGGGTCCAGAACCTGGACGCGGGAAAACCAAGTCCTGGCTTAAGGGGAGATGTGGGCGGGAGAGCCACGCTCTGAACCAATCGGAGTAGCCGCTCTCTGAAGCCGAGTGACACATCTACCAATAGGTGCGCAGCGAACTCTTTCCCAGCTTCTGATTGGCAAGTGGGTGGGGTCGAGCTGGGCCCCCGCCAGAACAGCGCGCCAGCGCCTCAGAGAGCGCAGAAGCCGGGCCACTGAGACGCGGCACGGGACAGATGGGCGGGGAAGCTGAGCCGCCGGCACCTACCAAGATGGTGGCCGTGTTCAGGCCGGGCAGCTTGTCCATTGGCCTCAACACCGACATCCCAGTGGCAAGCCGAACCGCTGCTCCTGCGATGCGCGCCGGATTTTCAAACCGCCCCGACTCGGCCCCCAGTACCCAGCTTAGGGCACGTGGCCCTCTATGGGCGGGGCTTATCGGGTTCTCTTAAAGGAACCGCTACCTCCTTTTCTGAGGGGGCTTTGCAGCACTGACCCAAGGAATGTAAGGTACTGTTCAGGCCTTTTGTTGCACATTTTCAGAGGAAGAAAGTTCTCCATGATTCATTTGTTCACTTTCGTTCATTCACGCTCATTCCTAGTACTCTCTTTTTTGTTTGCTTTAGAGTCGGGGTCTGGCTATGTAGCCCAAGCTGGCCTTCAGTTCCTGGGCTCAAGCCATCCTCCCGCCTCAGCCCCCCGCGCAGCTGAGACTACAGGCGTGCGTCACCTGGCCTGGACATTCACAGCTCTCTTAGTTCCTTCCAGACCCACCCCTCCTATGTCTTCCCCCATCTCGGCTGACTCTGTCCTTGCAGCTGCTCAGAACAAAACCATGGGGTCGTTCTTGACTCCTCTTCTTCACGGCCTGGGGCGCAGAGGGGACTTCCTGAAAGTCAGGTAGTAGGAAGCGCTAGGAAGATAAAGTAAAGCAGGCAGGGGAAGTGATGGGTGGGAAGAAGCTACTTTAGGTCAGGGCGGGCCTCTCCCAAGAATTCAGTGGAGAGAGGAGCCCATTAAGTGTAAGGAAGAAGAGACTTCGGACAGAAGGAACTGCAAGCGGGCAGCACTCCTGGCACTTCTGAGGAATCACCAGGAGGCCAATGGCTTAAGCAGTTGGAGTGTGGAGAATGTGGGGGAAGGTGAGGCTAGAGGGGTGACTGAGGGCCAGGAGATGAGTCCTTAGAGAGCAGTGGGCCATGGAAAGACTTTGGACCTGGTCAGGACTTTCCAGGAGGGGCTAAGCTGAGGCCTATTGATCAACTTGTGCTGAGTCTCTGCCTCGGGCCGGGCCTCCTCGGGACGCTGAGGACCCAGGTATCAGAGGGGTCATCCTGCTTCTGAGAGTTACCAGTGGCAGCTGGGCAGACAGTGAAAAACAAAGGCACTGCAGCAGGTGAGAGCCGTCTGGGGACCTGGGAGCCCACGCTGCGCTTCACTAGGGAGCTGATCATTGGCTGAGATGCCAAAGGTGAGTTGGCGCTTGTCATGTGGGCAGTGGGGAAGGAACTGGCTGTGTGTAGGATCCATACTGTGGTAAAGGGTAGGGGTTGACAGGGAGCCAGACCCAGGCCTGGAGGTTCTTATGTCCTGAACACCCAGAGCTGGCAGGGCCATCAGAGACTTCTGGGCCCGTGTTTTTCTAATTGGCTTCTGTGGAGCCCTAGGAGATGCCTTGGGGCACCTTGAGGGACTCTGGAATCTGAGTGGGTGGGGTTTCTGGACACCACTCACCCCACCCCACCGTTTTACAGATGCAAATCTGGCTTTATCTCTATTATATGTTGAGCTTCCTATAAGCTTTGTATGAATAAAGAATCAGTGGCTACAACAATACCTGCAGGCCATTGATCACATTTTTTAACAGATTTAT